CTGCCCTCCAGCCAGCCTCCTCCATTAGATTCTGTCTACTTAACAGGCCTGTGAGAGACGGCCAGCCTTTGCCTACCACAAGCCCACAGCAGTTAGTGCAGGGAAAGTTCTGATATGGGTCCCAGCATGACTCGGACCAAGATCTAAGTCAGGAAGTAAGTCGGGAGTCCAGAGCCTTGTTCTCCCTGTGTCCATGGTGAGGAGCAGCCCTATGTTCCCAAAGCCAGGCAACCACTTTGTCCAGGCCTCACTCTGGGGTACAGCAGCCATGCCCTGTACACCCAGGGCTTGGGCTCCAAGCAACTTGGCCAATGCCTCCGTCGGGTGAGCCCTCACAGGGGTCCTCAGAGGGGCTTCTGCAGCAACTTCTCCCTTGCTGGGTGCAAAGGGCAAGCCTTCTAAGAGGCCCTCCGTTAGGTCCTGTATCGAGGCAAGTCAAAAGCAGGCTCCTAGGGTACCAGTTCATACGTGCCCAGTCTGTCCCAGATATGTCTGGTCAGGCTCTCTCCGGGTTTCTGATGTCTCATTAGCTTGTCTGCCCATCACATGGTCCCTCCAGAACCATGGCTTCTGAGGGGACCTGCTGGCCAGTAAAACTCCAGGCAGCGGTTAGTTCAGAATGTCATGGCAATCATATTTTGGAATCCCCAAGGTGTTAATCTTGGGGGCTTATCAGGTGATTTTAAGAAAATGGAAAGCTGCATTGGGGGGTGGGGGGGAAGGCCAGGACAATTGTGCTCAGGAATCTTTTTTTCTGTCACAGTGCACCTGCTCATTCAGGGTAGCAAGGGTTGTCCTGCAAGCACTCCCCTAGGAAACTACGCCACCCTCCAGCAGCCCTGATCTTGCCCCTTCAGACTTTGTTTCCACAAACTCCGACTACATTGGCCTTCAAGGACGTTGAGATAAAGTTTATTGTGTCAACCTGGCCAATAAACACGTGGGGTTAATTGAAGAGCAGATAAATGGCTCAGTGAGTCTCACCTTTCTAGTTCTCAGGTCGCTTGCTTTCCGATGGTTCGACCAGGGTGCAGCTGCCTTAGCCAAGTTCCCTGCTTCAGCTGGCAAGGCTCACTTCCTGTAAGACATCCCCAAGGAGAAGCCACATGGACCTACCCAATGCAGCCCTGGGGGCTGGAGCAGCCATGTGGAGACCCCTGCCAGCACTGAGATGCTTACACATTCACTGGCTCGGCTTTCCTCCTGCAGTCAGCGGGGTCATGGTATGTTTTGTGAGATGGAGGAGGACTTTGTGGATTGGTGTTGGACATATGGGTTAATGCTGGACTTGTGGGCTTGGGTAGCACTGGGTTGGGATGTTTTCTTGATATGCACTAACATTTATATAAAACGCTCTCTTATACATGAGTTTCTGTGGATTTGTTTCTCTAAAGTACCCAGACTAACATAGATGCCAAAACTGTTTGAATGTGGTGTAAATCCAAGGACACAGAATTCTGGGGTTAGAAGGATGGGAATGCTTGTCTTCAGAAGTGAATAGACCAAGGTGAAGAATATGTCAAGAAAACAACAGCTTCACGTTTGAGATTTTTTGTTTTAATAAAGGTTTCTATCATTCTGCAGCGATACTTTTTGACTCACCCATGTACATTCGACGTGACTGGAGGTCCCCAGGAAGCCCTTTGTGTATGGCTAGGGCATCCCCTGGTCTGACGCACCTGGGACAGGTATTGCAGCCAACCCCTACAGGAGCTGCAAGACTTCGTTTCAGAGCGGTGGTTCTTAAACTTTTAACAGTTATAAGTAAACTTCAACAGGTGTAAGATCGCCCTACTCGACCCCTAGTCATCCCTCAGAGATTTCAGTTCAAGATGGAACAGGACCCAGGGAACCTGTGGAAGGTGCCCCAGGTGATTCTGACACAAGGCCTTTGAAAAATAGACTAGAGCAGTATTTTGAACTTGAACTCCTCACATCCAGTTTCTAGAAAGACACACACACACAAAACATCCCAGGGGATGCAAGGGTCCTTAAGAGCACAGATGAACAACCCTCTTTTTACTGGACTAGCTAAGGGGAGTTCATGTGGTCATGGCCTCTATTTCCCACTGCTCGGTCGTGCAGATAACACGTGTTGTGCCCGATACAGAAGAGCCTTCTCCCAATCTGGTCCTAACACCGAGGGCGCCCTAGCTTCAATTCCTTCTGGGTCTCAACCGCCAAGGCCTGTGGTCGCCTTCCCAGGCCCAGAAAGGAATGAGGAACGAAGCTGAAAGGCTTCATGATACTGTTTGATGGGATGACAAGACGTGGGTCAGGAGGGCAGGACACACAGTTGGGCCTGGTTTCTGGGCTGTAATTAAACCTTACAATGTCCAAAGCATTTTTAATTGCAAACTTTATGGCACCTTTAACTGCCAAGCGGAGGGTGGGGTCCAGATCTGGCTTTGATGCAAGGCTGAGAACTGGGGTCACAAGCTGGGCTTTCCCCAGGCTGAGCTGGAGGAAGTTATTCACTGGCTGCTCTGGGGGCTTGAGAACTGGCACTGAGGCACTACCTATTGCCAAGGTGCCCCCTTTGTGACCAAGTGGCACATGGACCAATCTTTCTCAGAAAAGCTTACCAGGAAAGGAGGCTTTAGTGGGGCTAGGTTTAACTATTCAGAGTCAAATCAGTTCACTATTTCACCTGAAAATCTCTATCTTTTCCTTTCGAAGTCTCTCCAGGTCGACGGATGCTGTACAATGGGGTCCTCTTTTGACATGGCCTCGGTGTGCTGTCCTGCCAAGATGATTTAAGCTCGCAACAGAATTGGACAGTTTACTATGCAAACAAGGTACATACGTCCCTTACGAGGATTGATTACTGAGCATACAAGGTGAAGGAGGCCTGCTGGGGGACCAATTTGTTTTGCCATCCAGCTAAGCTTAAAGACGGGCCTCACTACCAGCAAGAGGAGCCAGGTGCACAGTGTATCCTTTGGACCTGGGGGGTCCCTGCCCAGAGAACCTCCTAGGCTGAGATGGCACAAGATGGTCCCAGTGTTGAGAACCAGACCAGTGTATGGTTGTAGTGTGATGAAGGGTCGTCCTGGGCAGACAGGGCAGGGCACACACAGGGCTGGCTGGTCCCATCACATGGACAAGCCTGGGTTCTGAACACAGTGGACTCAGTGGCACAGAAGACAGCCTACTCATCAGGTAGGAGGCAGCGGGGATGCTGTGCAGAGCTGGACTACAGACAGGTATGGGGGTATTCCCTCTGGCTACTGATCCAACCACCAGGATGTTCTTGGCTCGGGTCCCTGTTGTTTAGGATGGCGGGCACCTAGACTTTTGCTTTCACTCGGGAACACAGAGGCTAGCGTCTCCCTTGCTTTGGTCTGTTACGAGGTGGTTTCATCTGATTCCTCTTGTACCTGGTCTCTGCCAACAATGAACTGGTCAGTCCAAGTTCAGGTCAGTCCTGACATCACCCCAGAGAGTGGGTCTGAGACGTTCACAAGGAGCTCAGGAGAGAGGTGGGGAAAGCAGCCGAGAACTACAAGCCCTGGGCCTGACCTCAGGCTCCCAACACCAATGGAAAAAGGAAAGTAGGGGTGCCTCCGATTCTAAACCTCGCTGTGTCACAGGGGAGGATGGGGGCTACTGGAAGGCAGGAATACCCCCTGATCTGAAAGCCCCAGGGAGTTCTGACTGGGCCATCCCCTTTACTCGGTTGTCTGTCCTCCAGGCACGGGCACTGGAGAGTGTGGGCTTGGGCACACAGGAGCAGCCGCTACTTGGCTCCCACGAGTTGTTTTTTGGTCAAATCTTGAGAACAGCCAGAACCCTGGATTTTGTGAAATAGCCCAACTTTTACATCTGGATCCCTAATTTGCCACATTTTAAAATGCCATCAAGGCCAAGGGCAGTGTGTGTGAAGGGGGGGTACAGGGTGTCAGCTGAAGGTTGATTCAGTATGTGAGCCATCTGTTTTTAGCTTCTGCAATAAAGGAGACAACAGGTGAGATAAGGCCCTCTTCTACTCCAATTCTCTAACCTGCTGAGCTGAGCAGCCTCTTTTCCCCAGAGTGGAGGCCAGCGGGGGTCCCTACCTCAGCAGGGGGTATCGCCTCATCAGCCAATGGGGATTCGAGTCTGGGGCAGTCCTAGCACAGCGGCAGCAAACTGGTGATGGCTGCGGACAAGACTGACCTCATCAGGCAAGCTGCCCAGCTCTTGCCTAGAGTCCTGACATCCTCCTCCTTGGAGGCTGCCAGGGAGGCTCAGGCCCTGAGGCCCGCCCTGGGCCTCAGGCAGCGTCTAACTCTTCACCTTCACCTACCTGCTCACCTTCGAGCCAGTCACCCACACTCCTGGAATATCTCTGGGTAGTGTTGGAAGCCTACGGGTGGGTCCAGGGTCCCTTGGCCAGAAACCAGGGTCACCGGCAACCCAGTGACCCCCTGGCAGCCCCTGTACCCACCGGCACCAGGCCGATGGACCCACTGGTGCTTGGACACGGCAGACTTCTGGCCAAAGCGCCTGCCGCACTGGGGACAGGGGTAGGGGCGCTCGCCACTGTGGGTTCGCCGGTGGGCGGCCATCTCGGAGCTCTGCCGGAAGCAGCGCCCACAGTCCGGGCATGGATAAGGCTTCTCGCCCGTATGGGTGCGCACATGGCGCCGCAGGTCCGAGGCGTGGGCGAAGGCGCGGCCACAGTCCGGGCAGGGGAAAGGGGTCTCACCGCTGTGGACCCGCTGGTGCTGGTAGAGGGCAGAGCTCTGGCTGAAGCAGCGGCTGCAGTCGGCACAACGGTAGGGCTTTTCACCCGTGTGGACCCGTAGGTGGGTGGTAAGAGCAGAGCGCTGAGTAAAGGCCCGGCCACAGTCAGGGCAGCGGTGGGGTCGCTCCCCACGGTGGATGGCCCGATGCTTGCTTAGCGAGGAAGCCTGGCTGAAGCCCTTTCCACAGTCAGGGCAGCAGAAGGGCTTCTCCCCCGTGTGGGTATAGAGGTGTTCCACCAGGGTGGAATGCCAGGCAAAACTCTTCCCACACACATAGCAGCCGTGACGCTGGTCTGCTCTCGGGACAGGAGGGTGGGCACAGAGTGGGGGGCGGCCGCGGCGAGGTGCCCTGGGTGGGCGCTCCAAGCCGTCAGGAGACCCAGCAGGAGAGGGTTTGAGAGCCTTCAGCTCGGGTGGCCGAGCTGCCACAAAAAGGGCCGTTTCCAGGGCCCCAACCTCTTCCCTGTGTCTTTTCTCTTCGCCTCTGGAATCTGCTGGAAAATAGAGGCAGAGCTCAGGCTTTGGAGCCTCCTGTGGTCCCAGACCCCACATAGTGTCAGAGAACACGACTCTTAAATGCAGCCACCTCCCTGGCCCACAGCCACCTCTGGAACTCCGCCCAGCCCTGGACGCCAGGAGTACCGCCTTCTCCTCAGCTACCTGGCCAGAAAGTGGCGCGGAGGAAAGAAGGGCATGGGGCGTGGAGGGCTCCGAGCTGGATCAGGGAGGCTCCTTAAGGGCAGCAAGGAGAAAAGGCTGAGCAAGGGCGAGTTCGGTGGGTCCGGGAACTGTGTAAGGTCTGAACAGCTGGTCGAGGGGTAGAAACGGTGGAAGTCAAGAGAAAGGGGGCTGCTCCCAAAATAAAGCAAAAAAGGAAGAAAGAAAAACCCTGGGGTAGCACACGGGATGCTGTGAATACACACCCTACTGAGTTTAGGGGCCAACTGGATTAAGGAGCTCTGCCCGGTTCCCACACTCCTTTAAGAACGGAAGCACCCTTTCCAAGCGGAGGCCGGAAACCAAACGGCCCGCTGCCAAAGCAACGCTGGGAGCATTGGATTAGCAGGGTACGCGGATGGGTCAGGCACAGAAGAAATCCCCCAGGGGCAGAGAACCCAACGCCTTACCTGTGTCTGCTTGGGTCAGACACTTTCCGGCCCCTGGATCCTGAGCATTCGGACCCCACCGTTCGGCCTC